AAAAAAAAGGTGCGCTCGTTCAAAACAGTTGCGTTCGATCCTTCGCTGGCTGTGCTGATTTGAATCTAGCGGTTCTTTTGTGTTTGTGTCGCAAGTTCAGTGACGCAGGTAGTGACGATTCTCTCCGGCCAATCCGTGATCAGCAGAGTTTACACGTCACGTTTTGGTAACGGTACGGTTCACTTGGAACCCCAACCGAGGTGTGTACTAAAAAAAGTACCAGGTACTGTACCAACTGGAAAACCCCCAAAATGTGAACCGTACCGAGCCGTACCGTGCCATACCATGCAGTGGAAAAGCGCCATTACAGTGCTCCGTAAACTTAAGCAGCTGTCTGTTCAGCCCCGTCGCCGCCTTCTCCTGTATCGGAGTATTATTGAGCCCGTTCTTATGTATGGTGCCGTTTGTTTTTTTTTCATATGAGTATTTCCTTTGGAGTAGGAATACCAATAATCCTACTAGCCAAAGTTATCAGTGTGTTACTTCAGCTATGATTCGGAAAGCACATATAATCCTAAATGACCCAGATCACCCACTCCATCGGTATTTTATCCTTCTCCCATCTGGCCGTAGGTATAGACAACCTATGTGTAGGAGGACTAACTTTAGCAAGAGTTTTGTTACTACAGCAATACGTGCTTTAAACACATAGGAAATTAGCCATCCTCATACACTCTTGCATTTATTTTTTTATTTTTTTCGTGAATGTATTGTGACAAGTTTGTACATAATGGGTACCGAGCCGTACCGTGCCATACCATGCAGTGGAAAAGCGCCATTACAGTGCTCCGTAAACTTAAGCAGCTGTCTGTTCAGCCCCGTCGCCGCCTTCTCCTGTATCGGAGTATTATTGAGCCCGTTCTTATGTATGGTGCCGTTTGTTTTTTTTTCATATGAGTATTTCCTTTGGAGTAGGAATACCAATAATCCTACTAGCCAAAGTTATCAGTGTGTTACTTCAGCTATGATTCGGAAAGCACATATAATCCTAAATGACCCAGATCACCCACTCCATCGGTATTTTATCCTTCTCCCATCTGGCCGTAGGTATAGACAACCTATGTGTAGGAGGACTAACTTTAGCAAGAGTTTTGTTCCTACAGCATTACATGCTTTAAACACATAGGAAATTAGCCATCGTCTTACACTCTTGCAATTTGTATGTACTTGTAAGGTACCTGTCCTTGTGTTGTATACGCACCTTCTGTGAAAATGAATTTCCTCTGTGGACAAATAAATTATCTATCTTATCTTCAGATCCAGCACTTTCAGGTGTGATGCTGCGTCCTCACCAAACATGACACAATAATACATCAAGCAATAAAATCTCGTATAAATCTGTCATAAGCAGCCAAAACAAATGACAGGACAAAGAAACATCATCTAAAGTTTTCACTGTGAATGAAGTTCATCATTTCATCTGTGAGATTCAAATGATTATTTAATTATTATTATTATAATTTTATTATTATTATTTTTTTTACATATTTACCATTCTTGTTCAGAAAGCTAAGAAGAGGCTGTAAAACTGAGATTTACTTGTTTGTAATAACTTATTTATCTTTTTTTTTCTTTAGTTTTATTGTATTGAGATACATTGGGTCTCTTGTAAATCAATTAAAAAAGATATCTGTCTCATTGGTTTTAACTTTAATGGAGACATATTATGCCCCTTTTTACAATATGTAATGTAAGTCTCTGGTGTCCCCAGAATGTGTCTGTGAAGATTCAGCTCAAAATACTCCACAGATCATTTATAATATCATTTTGAAAATGCCTATTTTGAGTGGAAGCAGAAACACGCTGTTTTTCGGGCCTGTTTCTTTAAATGCAAATGAGCTGCTGCTCCCCACCCCCTTTTCCAGAATAGAGCTGCGCCATTACAGCTCGGACCTGCTAAAAAACATTGTTTTGGTTCTGATTATCATTTTTATTGTGCTGAAATCATGTGTTTTAAAGCATACGAGTTTAAACTTCTGATATACGGTTTTCTAAGAGCACACAACCGAAGCACACGCACAGCTGTCACAGCATGTGAGTACTAAACTATTCACACACAAGTTTGCGTTAAAAACACACACGAGTTACAAAACAGTTGGTTATGTCTGCTGGGAAATAAATCCCATGTTTGTTTTAGATCTGTGTGGCAGCAGCAATAGACATTAAATATATAATATAATTTAAATACATATTCACATGGAACCAGATAAAAAACATAAAGGGGTCATATGATGCTTTTTTAAAGATCATTATTTTGTGTATTCGGTGTAACAGAATATGTTGACATGCTTTAATGTTCAAAAAACACATTATTTTTCAAATACTGTACATTATTGTAGGTCCTCTATGCCCCGCCTCTCTCAAACGCTTCGTTTTCTACAAAGTCCCTCCTTCCGACAAGCGCAGTCTGCTCTGATTGGCCAGCTGACCCAGTGCATTGTGATTGGCCGAACACCGCAAGCACTCGTCGGATATGTAACACCCCTTACCATAATCGGCAGCTTCATCTTTCAAAATAAATGTAAAGACAGTAAATAATGTCATTAACACTCCAAAGAGAAAGGAAAACTTGAAATCGCATCATATGACCCCTTTAAACATTTTAGAAGAGAACGCAGCATCACAGTTGTCTGAACCAATGAGCATTAAGTTGTGCCGTCAGTCAGTCGTTTCCCATCATGCTTTTGATCAGCGCAGTCAGTGGAGAGCAAACTGCTCGACTGCACAATCCGACACAGTCGCCTCGCCGTCGCAAGAGGTTTTTGGCACACGTCAGCGTGACTCGGACACTTGTCTAACCGGCATGCATCTCGCGGTGATCACCGGTGATTGGTTCAGCGCAGATTTTGCTCATCTCAAAAGAGCCTCATTACAAATTTTCTGTCTTTGTGACTGTGAGCAATATTTGGTGCGTTTTGAAAAGCTACCGTTATTCTCGCATCGCCCTCATGACGTTACCACTAGTTTCATTCACTCAGCGCGTGTTTGCTGTGTCTTCTGAGGTGAGTCGAGCAGTTCAGATATTTCGCTTGTTTACACATCCTTAAAAATGTTTTTTACACAGTTTGTTTAATCAACATCCTACGAGGTTCTTTCTAAATTGTTTTAATCAGATAAAACACTATTTATGCGCCTGTTCTGGCGTCTGCAGACTGATTTAGTTCAACAGGAAAGGAACATCACGGGAAACTAAAGTCATGCGGACACAAACCATTGCGTGTATTTTTAAAGTTTATGTGATAAAGATGTGTTTGTGAGTGATAAAGATGTGCGTGTTTTTTCGTGCTTTCATGGATATGAACATATTCATTTAAAGCCTATATGGTTAATGGCAGACAGAAATGGAGCAGAAAAAAACTGTAAAGATGCGTGTGATTAGTTTGTTTTATCTATGTCAGTTGTGAGTGGCAAACAATGCTATTTTTTTTTAATAGAGACGTTTTATAACATTTAAGGTACTCTGTTCGAACTCTAATGGTATTTTCAAGTACGTATTCTTTTTTTACCACAGACACCTACTATTACTATGCCAATATAACTATGCCAAATAAGCGCACTAATGTCCACATAAAAAGCTAAAACCGTGCTGCCGAATCCCGCGTTTTTTAATGGAATTATCATTCTTTTTCTAAGGCTCAGTTTTCCTATAAATGCCAGAATATTCTCATCAGCCTACAAGTGAAGACAGTTTACTGAAGGACAGTGAGCACATGACAGATCCAGAACCCTGCAGAATGAAACACACTGAAAAACAAACAGGTTGGTGTTTATTCTTGATCCTTAAAGGCTGAAAAAAATCAGTCCCTCTAGGATGTAATTTATTATAAGAGAACACTAAAGAATGAATTAAATGTTATCCTCTTAATCCTATATAACTGTATCATATTTAATACATGAATTTCTAAGGGCTCTAAATGATCAATTTGAACAAAACATTTCCAGGTTACGCATGTAACCATGGTTCCCCGAAGGGAAAGAGACGCTGCGTCGAAACGCTACGGGAACGCCTCCAGCGTGACTACGCTCTGAATCGCATGCATAATCAGTCCAATGGATGGGTGAGACATCACAGGCGGAGTGACGTAGCGACCAGGAAGCATAAAAGCACGTGTGGTGAAACCGGCATCAGCTTCTAGGAGTGAAGCAAGCGCTGGCAGGGATGCCAGAAGTATGGCCCTGAGATGCAGCATCTCGTTCCCTTTGAGGAACCCAAACGTTCCCCTTCAGGAACTCGAGCTGCGTTGAGACGCTACGGGAACGAGAATGCCCCTACGGGAACGAGAATGCCCACACCGCCAGACTTGCAAATCCCTGCCTAGTGTGGAAGAGCACAACTAAGGCGATAGAAAAGGGAGCCAGGAGTGGCTAAAGTAGGCAAGGCCTGCCGTCCCAAAGGCCAACTTCTGGTGTGAGCCTTGACCTCCAAAGGAGAGGGGAGATCAGAGGACTCAAGGCTATGGAATAGCATCCTGATTCACCACTTAGTATAAGCTTCTCTGGCCGGAGGCCTCGGCCTCAGCGCTCCTCAGAGGAAACGTGTAAGAAGAGGGTGTCTTCCCAATGAATGGCCACCGAGAGGGGTGTGGTAGGCCTCAATGGCCGCCACGAAGACCTTTAGGGTGGAGTGGATCAACCCTGCGGATAAACATGCCTGCAGAAACTCTAGAACTGTACCAAATGGGCAGTTAGCTGGGTCGAGCTGGCGGTCTCC